CAGGATGAGAGTGGCATTAGCAATATTGGGGAAGTGGAGGATGAAGTAGGGAGGAGTAATATGACATGTAGAATGAAGTGTAGGGCGAGTTTGTTAGTACTGCCTACTAATTGGAAGTCTCATCCCACCTCCACACACAATAGTTTGCCTAGCAAACACTGATAGAAAAATGAGTGTGATACTTAGTTTATAGTTAGCCACCGAAGAAAAAAAATGAGTTTTCAAGTAAAAGGTGAGAAAATCTTGACTAGAGTTGATTTCACAGAAGTAATTCAATATGCGATACTCCCAGAGGGCTATCAGATAGTAAGAAAAATATGCAAATTTCAAAAAAAAAAAAAATGGAAAATCTTGACTCTTGAGAGAAAGGGAACTTAAATACTGTATAGAAGGTTAAGTAATATCCAGAGAAAGAAAAGTAATACGTCACTGGTATATAATCTTCCAACAAATAACAGATCAAGGAGAGTGTGATTAAAACACCACCAAGTAAGATATTAGACAGCAGTGGAGCGTGCAAGAACCAAAACTAAATTACTCATGTTATAAGATTTTAACCATAGGGAAATTAAGAGAGCTTGGACCCCTATAAGAAACCAGACTGTCAAAATCTCAAGGAAATCATAAGAATGAGATGGTAATAATAGTTGTCTAGGCTTAACCTGAACGAATATAAATTAAGGTTAATCATGTATGGTGAAACACTAAAGACCAGTGATCATGCAGTATTGTATACTTCTTTATTAAATATTCTTTATTCCGTATTAGTGGACAGTCACGCACATAGTATTCAAGAAAGTGGTCATAAGGTCACTGTACATTTAGTCTGATAACCGTCTGTGTATACAAGATCGCCATGTGTCCCGGTAACCGTGCATAAACTTGGCTGCTATAGCGTAAGTTAGACGACTCTGTTTTTATAGTGAGTTATAGATCTACTTAGGCTTCTCTCTGCATTCCTATAACATTCAGATTCATTATCTACTTTCCTCCTAATATTTTTTCTGATGCTTAACACAGAGAAACCAAGGTTGTTCAGCTCTTCCTTCAAGATACTTTCTTAGGCTAATTTATCAACTTTATCATGCAGAATTAATTTAGTGTGTGATGGAATCCGTAAGAATTATGTATCATTCCTTTTCTACCTTTTTAAAATCTATTCCTGGCTTCTCCAATGAGAATGTTGTCAGCAGAAACCCGAGGGAAAAGCAAAAGAAAGTTAGGAAAGAATATATGAGGATACGAAGAGAAACCGATAAACATTTTGAAAATGACTGAATATCAGAGGTGAAAATAAAACCATGGTTACTCCAAAGCCACATAAGAAAGATAACTTTAAAAGACCAGATGATAAGGTTCAAGAAGAATGGTGAAGCACTCACGGAAGTTGACAATGAAGTATGCCAAGAGGTTAGCAGAAGGTTGAGGGAAGTCTTCAGAAGAATGTGGGAAGCTACCTGGTAGCAGGAGTCAGGTCAGACCACATAACAAAGGAAGACGTGATAAAACTACTAAAGGAACTTGACATAATAAAATCACATCTGCAATTTCACGCTAGCACATCTGTACACCTCCACACCCTCACAAATATATAGCCACACGTCCTCGTATCCACGTACCCCCCCCCCCCACACACACACACCTGTACACTCACGATCCTGTATACTCATATAGCTGTATACCCACAAACCTGTATATTCATATAGCTTTATACCCAAAAACCTGTATGCTTATAGTTGTGTACCCACATCGTGTACACCCACACATCGCACACCCTCGCTCTCACACACGCCCGAACACCCACACATCCAACCAGCCATCGGAAGACGCAGCCACTCCTAAGATTAAAATCGGCAGAAGGCGGAATGATGAAGCACGTAAAGATTCTTCAAGAATGGCTCACTTTCCCAGGAGCGCCGAAGACAGAGAGTAATTCCGGCTCTGAGTTGACTTTTGCAGTGGAAATGAAACAGGGCGGCCGGGATGTGCTTTGATACTTTAGCCTTGTGCACTTTGTCAGAGTTACAAATGAACCTGTGTATTGCATTAATCTCTACTAATACTTTTTCAATTTCCCACCGCCTTGTCTCATCCCCTTTCAAACAGTATCTACGTTCTCCGTATCCGTATCTCTTTTGATAATATCTCCGCTGTTCCTTTATTTTTTCCATTGGTGTGAGGATCGTCTCTTCGCTCACAATTCAGGATTTTGATCGCCTAATAGTAAATTTTTGGACTAATTTTAGCATATTAGAATAAGCATCATTAGCATGGATTCCATGCGGATGAGGCTTGTTCTAATATTGACCTCAGGTAGGTGGTGGTTTTTATCTTATTCTTATGTTCACGAATGTGAACAGTAGTATCTAAATGCCCGGCAGCAGCCTGACATTTAGATGTTACTGGTTACTTTTATTTCCCATATTCATCACCTTGCACTTATCAGGGTTCGAAGTCTGATAATCATTTATTTTGTTATTCGCTGCAGTCTATCCGTGTCATTTTGTAGCTTTTTTTTGCAGTCCACCTGTATTCTTTTCATGAAATTTGCTTCTTTAAATAGATACTTGTAAGAAACTATTTTTGCAGGCTGCTGGTGTTGCTGGCACCAGGAGTCTGATTAATCAAGTCACTAATTAGGAGGCCTGGTCTGGTACGGGTCCAAGGGATAATGACTCCTGGGATCTGCAACAGATATATAATGGGTTGATGTTAGAAGGGATTCCAACCCACGTAGCTAGAAAAGTCCCATTACGTTTATTTGTATCAAGAGAACAATCATTTTAACCTGTATGATTCTCAAATTAAAAAAAAATGTTGAAACATTTCTGATTATAACAGTCTAAGTTTTGCCTTAAAAAACTGTACAAGTGTCATCCTGTTTTTCTTTGTCAGGGCCTATGAAATATTGATTTATTACGATGAGAAGTTGTAGGGCTGGTGAATTTGTGCGGCCCGTCCTCGTACTGTGCATAACGAGCATATTGTTTCTAACAGTAAGAGACTGTATTCTATACCCCGCTCTCAGACGTTAATCTCATTCGTGCATTTGCATTACTAGCGGTGAACTATACTGTACTTGAGTGTTGGATGTTTTAGAATAGATTAAAGCAGTTTAAACGACTTATATTTAATGCCACAAGTTGCATAGCTCATTCAGAAATTAACACAGGTGAACGTGTAAGAAAACCCCTCGTTGGGGTGTTTAGACCGGAAGCAGTGTTGCGTCTCACCAGTTGGTACGCGCAGTAAGTCCTTGCTTGTTATGTCCGTTTTTTCTCGCTTGAGCAAACATTGTGCCTCTCCCAAAATGTGTAGAGAATGTCGTGCATGCACTGTTGTGGTGTTCGCTACAGGGTATTTTAACGTGCGTGCTTTGTGTTTTACGACTTTTGACGTTCAATGTTTGGAAGAGAATTTGGGCGTTTGAAGCTACAAAGTACTTTGGTAAATTGTTCAGATTCACAGGTATAATGCGTGGAATTTATTCCTGTCGAGAATGTAATTATAATTTCATCCTGGTAAAGGATTGTTTGAGTGGGTTTTAAGTAGAGCAGGAACAACTCTGCTTAAACGGCTGCCTCAGGCAGCACTGAGATTACTGGCGCTTTGTGTTCTCTCCCTCAGGAGGCTGGAACGGGTCACCGTCTGCGGACGACCCATGTGAGGACCTTGTTCTGATGAATCTACAAAAACGGTTTTATCTTGTTTACCAGATTTTTTCAAGTCGGAAGTTGAATTATTCAAAGTTTATAATTACAAAGTTATAATATGTAGGTTATTACTACTTGATGAGCTTTTATAGGCTTTGTATAAGAAATAGTGTGGAGTCAACGTAGCTTTGTGTACTTAATGAGATTAGGTCTTTTTTTATTTGTATTCATATAATTATATAGCCTCAAAGTATATGAAAAGTGTAGCTAAGAAAGCGGCAAGGATAATTTAAACCTGATTAAATTGAAGTTTAATAACTTCAAGTTCACAACTTAAGTGGTATACGGTGTCAAACAGAAATTGACATCGCACCCTCGCAGTTTTTATAGTGTTCTATAAAAGATGCATCATCAGGTAGCAAGCGAATGGGAAGGGAAGAGAGACAAGGGATTAACTAATTTTACATGACTCAAGATTTGCCTGGGCAGGGAAGTGAAAGTGGTTTGTCCTGCTTGTCTACTTCTGTTCATGAGAGGTAAAAGTTAAATGAAAGTCAGCAACGTGAGAAGCTGTAATACGGTCACTGTTAAATTTGATGATGACTTATCCTTGATTGATATTCTGTTCTACATAAGTGATGTTGGGTCATCCTTTTCCAAACCATCCTATCCCGTACCCCACTTTCATCCACGCTCATAATCTTATTTTCCCATCATTTACCCTCCTGCTGTCATCCCTTCTCCATCCCTGCCTTTCAAAAAACGTCATTAAATATCTAAATTTTTACTGTGACATCCATATAATTCCAAAAATAAATACATATAGAAAGTTATCTGGATAAATTCTTCATGATTCAGTGGGAGGTGAGTACGTAGCAGCAGTCAACCCTTTTGATTGTTGCACAGTTCATATTCTCACCGAGGACCAGTTGCAGTATTGGAAACCCTGGGCCGTTGAAGTACCTATGGGTATCTGTGAAAGGCAGACCTTGATGACTTTAACTTTCTAAATCCATTGTTATGGAGTCTTGCTCGTACGGGCTTGTTAAAATTGGATTATATTTTTAATTTATATAATTGACGTTTAATACATTTATCTACCTCTTTTGCCTTCATTTAATCAAGCAGTGAATAACCATTCTTACTATTAAATTTTGGATATTTTAACCTATCTCGTACTTCCCAGCGCTTTCATACGTTATGAGTATATTTTTTACCCCATGTATCTCGTGGAGTCATCGTGCCAAAAAGATTTATTAGTTATGCCATGTGGAAACTACCGTGATATGCTAAATATTAAGTGACATGTGTACTGTACAAACTGACCTGGCCTCGCTTAACCTGCAGCTTCCGAGGGAGACGCAGCCGTGTACAGATTCCCCACCCATTCTCGTCTCTTCGACCACCTGAGGACTTGTTTCAAAGGTAACCTCTGACCTGGCTCTGCTCCCCACCATCTCCCGACCCCTGCTGTCATTCACCTATGTCTGAGCTGAGCCTACGGTAGCTGGACACATCTGCCTCCTGTGACACATGCAGCGCTCATGTGTCAGCTTAGCAACCATTTAACACATGTTTGTATTTTGTGATTTGGCGTGACTAACACCCGTTGTGACCCGTGTTTTTAATATTATTGTTAATGTTGCAGCTTTTGCCGTCTTATAGGCTAGCCAGGAGGTTCTGCAACAGGTAGTGGCAAGGCCGTCTGCTAGCAATGTCATCTCTTAGTGAAGACAGTAAATTTTAGTTAACTTTCAAGTTATTGTGTGTATGTATGCTTTTATATATATATTATATATATATATATATATATATATATATATATATATATATATATATATATATATATATATAATGCAATAAGATCACAGTAAACAGGTGATTTCAGAATATGCAAAACAACCACTCTGAAAGAATAGAGAAAATCCAAGCGCTTTCGTGACTACTCACATTGTCAAAGAATTTCTCTATTCTTTCAGAGTGGTTGTTTTGCATATATATATATATATATATATATATTATATATATATATATATATATATATATATATATATATATATATATATATATATATATATATATATATATTACACTGCGACTAGCCAAGGATTCGAACCCATGTCGTTTTGGCCCGCCTCATAGTGAGCAAAAATCACATGACGCTCTAACCCACTGGACCACTCAATCCTACAAGAATCAAGCACTCAGCAGAGCTAGGTGTTTTACCTTGATCCGAGGACATACGGTGGTGTGGGTGCCTCTGAGCTAATTTCATTCTACTCCCCGTTTGGTGTACTAGTCTCCACGAGCATGAGGCGGGCCAAAACGACATGGGTTCGAATCTTTGGCTAGTCGCAGTGTTATTGATTCAATACGACTCGTTCGTGGTTACAATAATATATATACTGCTTGTGGAAGCTAGTACACCAAAGGAGGAGTAGAATGAAATTAGCTCAGAGGCACCCACACCACCGTATGTTACTCTCTAACTGCTTCTTTAACACAGTTAAGATACGAACAGATGTCTTCTTCGAGGAGACAGGCCGAGGTTTGGTAGACGGTAACTCGACACTGCCACCAGCCTTCAAACGCTGCGCCCAGTTCCTTACTGAACGCTCACACACTAACATTCTCCTCTATTTCTGGTACCCAACTTTGTGAAGCTCTATGATTTGAGCTATAGTTTCAGGTGTTAAAGACTTCCTTTTACTCATAATCAAACATGTATATCCCCAAAACCAAAGGGAACACTGGACAAAAGGTGGGGCGGATGAAAGACAACAGTGCAACACTTCCTCTCACGACGGCAGCCACGTGAGCAATGAGAAGTCACTGTGAAGTGTGGCTGCAGGCCGTGACATCATGCTCATGGTTGCTACTCCGCAGAAAACACTGACGAAAAAAGACCCCCCCTGTATGGTAGGCCTTTGATTTTCGTCACGGCATTATACCGGGGCGCTCACTGACATAATGCCGTGACGAGCCATATATATATATATATATATATATATATATATATATATATATATATATATATATATATATAAACTGTCAATAAACAGAACAAGAAAGAAAAGTTAATTTTTTTTACATTTAGCAATTTGTACTGGTCGCCTCTGACGACGTGCATGGCTTAGGAGGAAGATTCTTTTCATATATATAATGGATATACCTCTAGAACTGACTGGGGACCTATACTTTCAGGGAAAACTCAGGTTTCTCCCTGGAGCTGTTAAAGTATTTTATTCTATTACACCCTATATGCTATGTTTGTGAACTTTATTCGAAAGCAGAATACATTAAAAAGATGAAATGATAAGGAGAACAACATGCATGACATCTCAGAACCTGCATCTCACATACTTCATCTAGCTCGCCCCGGTGGTGGGTCATGTTCCCAGAATGCTGTAGGCATTTCCTATCTGGACTGCAACACTTGAGTCTCTGAAAAGGAAGCTGATCGCTCTGGCGTCCTTCTTTTCGGTGATGAGTTTGAGTACACATACACAACCTCACTACTAAACAGCAGGAGACCAAAACTAGAATACGACAAAAAACAGAGCAATGGTGGAGACGATAGCGGAGGTATCTAGAAGGGCCCACACGGGCTCACATGGAAGACTTCAACAATAATGAAATGAACTAAATCTGTAGTCACGTGGAAAAACCGGAAACTTGCAGGGCCATGTTGCTTGAGGTAGTGTTTGAAAACTGTGTCAACATGTCAGGGACACAACTTGTCAGTGATTATTGAGAGGACATCGAATATAAGAGGCTCCTCCGTGTTAGCGATCATATAGTACTGATGTTTGAATACATTGTGGAAGTGCACTCGGGGAGAATTAGAAAATGGGAAAGCTGGGACATACTTGAGTTAAGAAATCGTAATGACACGATTGCAAATAAACCATACCCCCGGCCGGGATTGAACCCGCGGTCATAGAGTCTCAAAACTCCAGCCCGTCGCGCTAGCCACTAGACCAGCTAGCCACAATAAGATTCATCCAACTAGGTATATTTCTACACCATAGGAAAGTTAGCACAGGCACCTCTGTGACCACAAATGCAAGTTTTTACAGACGAATCTCCAGCTAGCGTGGCCGTGACGAACTCTAGCTCAAGTCCCTTCACTGCCGTCAACATGACTTAAGAAATCGTAATGACACGATTGCAAATAAACCATACCCCCGGCCGGGATTGAACCCGCGGTCATAGAGTCTCAAAACTCCAGCCCGTCGCGCTAGCCACTAGACTCTATGACCGCGGGTTCAATCCCGGCCGGGGGTATGGTTGACATACTTGAGTTCAAAAAAGGAGGAGAGGAACTCACTAGAAACAACCAGGAAGGCTGCATAAAGCTGAACAAAAGAGTTTGAGATATTCTCAGTGGAAACATGTACAGTACAAGAGAGTCAAGGAGGAAGAGTGCACTAACCAGTATTGGACAATACACATAATGAAGAAAGAGATGAAGAAACTATTGAGACAGCTAGATATCTTAAAGGCAGTGGGGCCAGACAAACATCTCTTCGTGGGTTCTGAGAGAGGGAGTTGAAGAACTGTGTGAACCACTATCCGTGAACTTCAACAAATTAATTGAAATAGCACTGGTACCGGAGGTATGGGAAAACTGCGAATGTAGTCCTGATAATTAAGAAAGGGGAGAGACAAATAGCATTAAACGAGAGACCAGTATCACCGACATGCATAATACATGAACTTATGAACAGATTATGAAAAGAGTAGTAGAGCATATGAAAAGAAGTAGGTTCATTAGCAACGACACCCAGCACGGTTTTAGAGATAGTAAATCGTGCCCTACAAATCTTGTAGAGTTCTGTGACAAGCGAACGAAAGTCAAACAAGAGAGAAAGGAAGGGATTTGTGGACTATATATTTTTGGACTGTAAGAGGGCGAGTACTTCACAAGAGACTTGAACAAAAGTAACAGGAGCATGGCGGAATAACGGGGAAAGCACTACAGTGAATTAGGGAATACTTAACAGAGAGGAAACTGGCTGTTGTTCAAGAGGAGGTGCCCCAGTGGGCGGGTGTGACGAATGGGGTTCCACAATGGTTGGTAATTAAATCAGTACCGTTTCTTGCACACATAAACGATATGATAAAAGAAATCGAGTCAGACTTGTGTCTATTGGCAGATGCCGTGAAACTAATGAGGCAAATACACAAGCAGGAGCAGAGCGGGAAGGACTACAAACATCCGGACAAGCTGCTGACAAGTGGTTATTAGAATTTAACCCTAAGAAATGCAAAGTTATAAAAATCTGGGAAGGGCATATACGACTGGAAATAGAGTACATGCGTCTGGTCCATTTTGGAGTATGTAGGACCTGTATGGAACCCGCATGTGATAAAGCGTCTTAAGAAGCTAGGAAAAGTGCAAAGGTAAGCAACAAAACTAATCCTAGAGCTGAGGGCTATGAACTATAAGAAAAGATTTGAGGAACTAAACCTGACGACATTAGAGAGCAAAAGGACCAGGGGTGACATGATTACAACGTACGAAATGCTGACACGAATTCACAGGGTGGACAGGGAAAGTCTGTTCGAGATGCGGGTCTCAGGTAAATTTGGGCACAATTGGAAAGTTAAAACCACAACTAAATTACAGGGATGTTAGGAAATATTTATTTTGCTTTAGAGGCATCAAGGATGTGGAAAGACTTAGAAAGTGAAGTGGTAAAGGTAGGATCCATGATAGGCTCACACTGCCAGACGAGACTGAACGCAGGAGTGGTCAGCGGAGAGGCAGGCCCGCTGAGACTTGACTCTTGTAATCACAAGAAAAGGCGCACACGCGCTTATGTGTGTGTGTGTGTGTGTGTGCGCGCGCGCGCCCGCGCACACACACACACGCGCACACACACACACACACACTGTAACGATCGTGTTGTCAATAAATTAAGGCAGTAAGGGCCGGGTCTTGGCCAATTTTCCAGACAGCCGCAGAAGGAGATTGTCAATATTCAGATCCAATTTCCGGATGTGGCCTGGAAGGCGAGTCAAACTTTGCCCCTTTTGCCCAGCTCTGAAATGGGAGAGGGGGAGGAGGGGCTGGTAGTGGAGGAAGTGGGGAAGAGAGGTGGTTGTACTATAGGTGGAGAGAGACAGAGGTTAGATATCTGTATATCCTCATAATGCACAAAGTTAAAACCATTCGCACCACAGTTTCGTGTCATCATTTGCAAATATCAAAATGAGATTGGAAATCACCTCGGTAGAAGACAGGGAGAAATTACACTGGGCAATGGAAAATAACATGGCTTTCAGTGGTGACAATTTCCTAGTTCTTAGATATGAAAAAAGGCAAAGAACTCAAAAGGATCGCTGTATATAAATCACAAGAGGAGCACCAAATAGAAGGAAAGGAACATGTGAAGGATCTGGATATATCCAGATGTCAG